TTTTGATATATCTTGAAAAAGAATCCAGGCTTCTTTGTTGTGTATTTTATAGTGTTTAATAGTATTATGGAGAATTTGTATAGGAATATGAGTTGAGGAGTTTTTAGAAGCAGCGAAATTTAGGTTAGATAAAAGATGATTATTAGAGATAATTTGATCTAAACATTTAGTAAAGATTTTAGTAAAGGTTTTTTGAAAGGTTCAATGATAGAAATTGGGCAAACTTGATTGAGAGTAAAGTTTCAATTAGATTTTTTTGAAATAAGGAATATATTAGAGGATTTCTAGTTTGTAAGAACTTTTTGAAGTTGAAGCATTTGTTAAAAAATTTTTTAAAGAGTGTTTGTGCTTTGTGACTAGCATATTTTATATGTTCATAGCAGATTTCAGAGGGCCCTGCTGCTTTTTGTTTTGGAAAATTTGTTAAGATATCTTGCTATTCTTGGTTTGTAATTTCCTGAAATAAGTTATTGTAATATTCTTCATATTCAGGATGTGGTTCATAGAGATAGTAAAATTCTGAGGAGAGTGAAATTGGTTGGAGAGATTTTTCTTTAAAGTATTCAGTGAAGTGATTATGAATTGCATTAAGAATTTCGTTATGTTCTGTAAGGAGTGAATTTTCAAGAGATAGTCTATTGATATGTATATTATTGTATTTTTCAAGGATTTTTTTGTAGAAAGTTTTGGAGTTTCTAGAAAAGATTTGTTACAGTTTTCGATTTTTTGTTGAATCTCTTTGTAAATAGTTTGTTGTTGTTGAATATTAAGGGCAGTTTTAATTTGTTGGAATTCTTCTTTAATTTGTAATAAGGTAGATGTTGATAACTTAAATAGGCAGTCAGAGTATTGTGAAATATATTTTTTACAAAGTGAAAGAAAGTTAGAGGAGGTAAAGTGATTTTGAGATATTGAATTTCTTTAAATCTATAAAAAAGAGAAGTTTGTTTTGATGTTGAGGTTTCTTTAATTTCTTTAATAGTATTAATTTTGTGAAAAGGAATATGTTTGGTAGCAGCTTTAATAAGAGTTTTTTGAAGTTTATTCCAGAAATTGTTAAGTTGGTTTTGGTTAGCAATTTGATCTATTTGTATATGTAGTTTTTGCAAATTGAGTATAGTTTGGTTTGCATAATTTTCTAGATCTTTTTTGGAGCTATTTTTCTAGAGAAATTTTTTTCTTTTGTGTTGTTTGTATGGTTTTGGTTTGTTAATTATAACAGATAATTCTAGTGTGATAGTATTGTGATCTGATTCAAAAAGATTCTTTGAGAGGATATCTGTATAATCTATATTTGTAATACTCAGATTAGTCCAGATTTGATCTATTCTACTCTGAATATTTGAACATTGAAACGTAAAATTTTGGAAGTTAAAGAAAATACAATAGATGTCCTTATATTGGTAACTAATAAGATATTTAATAAGTTGGGTTTCAGAAATTGATGTTTTCTTTGATGATAAATGGTCAATACGAGGATTAGGAATACTATTAAAGTCTCCTATAATTATATATCGATATTTAGAATTTTGGCACAGTGTGATAATTTGTTCTTGTATTTCTTTTCGGAGTTGTTTTTTCTTAGTAGTAGGAATATAGATTTGAAGTAGCCTAATAGGAGTGTTTTTAAAATGAAGGTCAAGACCTATTATATGGCCATTAAAATTGTGAATACAAGTGACATATTTGGAGATTTTGTTATAGATAAAAATCTCTACACTAGCTTGATGTGGATTGGAAAAGGAGCTTCAGAAGCTAGTATAGTTTTTGATTTTGTTGTTTAAAAATTTGCTATCTTTTTGGGTTAATTGAGTTTCTAAAAGACAAAAGATATCATATAGGTTTTGGTTTAAGGTTTCTTCAATTAGGAGTTTTTTTGTTGGTTGTAGAAGACCATTTGTATTAAGTGAGGCTATTTTTATAGGAATTGAAATATATTCAGATTCAAGTGTTATAGTTTGATTTGATATATATGGAGGTATATTAGGATTGTTCATATTAGTTTGAGTATCAGATATAGGATTTGTATTAGTATTGGGATTTAATGTTGTATAATGTTGTAGGTTGGGTGTTGAGAAAAAGAGATTATCTGTGAAGATTGGTATTTGAAATTTGTTATTGGGTTATTTAAGTTCTATATCAGAATAATATAGTAAATCTTCAAAAGGTAGAAATATTATGTGATTTGGTATAAAATTTTCATATGGAAAGTATATGTGTGCTTCTGTAAAAATATGGTCAAATCGGGAATGTGGTTTGATAAAAATTTTTATATATTGGTTTGAATAGAACATAGGATAATATTCTTGTATATAATACAAAAAAAGATCCACAGTTTGTAGAGAAGGGAGTGCTTGTAGTCTATGGTAGTAAAGAAATTTGCTTTTGGGTTGTATATTTCAAGAAGGTTAGAATTGGGATTGATGTAGTTTCTTTCACTTAAAGAGTTTGTGAGTAGTTCAATTTCTTCATCACTAAAGTCTTTTTCAAGTAAGGATTCATCATAGATTTCTGATATTGGGTAGTTGATAGAACTGGTAGCAGTTAGTGATAGAGAAGTATTAAAGAAGAGTTGTACTTCAGAAGGAGATGAAGATATGGTATTTGAAGTACTATAGTTGTTTTCTGTAAAAGCACTCGCTGTATACTCAGTTCTTACAGTTGTGCAAAAAGCTAAAGTCTGCTCTGTATGTTGAGTTTGACAATCATTAATTAGTTCTTCTATATAGCTAATTCTAATCTTAATAATGAATCAATTAATATTGATAGTACTAAAGGTGCTAAAGAACAAGATCAAACAAAGAATGAACACATTCAAGATATTCAAGAACAAGATCAAGATAAATACATATATTTATTAACTTTTTATTTGGATATTTACTAAATTATAATAATAATATTAGAATCAAATATTGATATAACAACTAACAATAATAAAGCCATAGTACAATTAATGGCTCAAGATATTATTAGTAGTTTGATATTCTTTTATATACTTCAATTAATGCATAAAAATAGATCTTTAGGCCAGAAAAAATGCATATATATATAAAAATTGTAGTAAAGGTAGTTATCATAAATTCTATTGCCCAAATTAATAATGATATGATATGATAACTACATTTAAGCATGTTTCAAGTAGTATTTGCATGTAGTTTGCATGTTTCTTGTATGTCTAGTATTGTGTTTACTAAAGTTGGTATGTACGAGCAATTGCAATTCATTATATGCTTTGTTATATAATTTTATGTTTCTATTAGGGCTTTGCACATATTGGGCAGAATTATTATAAAATAGTACACTATATACTATATTATAATAGTTTTATCTAACACCTACAGAGCCTTAATAATTATATATTTTATTGTTTATATTTATGAGTATAAGTAGATGCTGAAAATAAGTAATGACAAAATATATAATTCTAAAACTTGTATGTTTGCTTATTTATATCTATATAAAAAAACAAAAAATAAAATAAAAAAATTAGTATCATAACAAAATTTTTAATACTGCAATTGCATTTTATACAAATCAATATAATATATATGAGGTGTTTCACATTAAAAGGGCCCATTTTGCAAATTTTTTGAAAAATGAGTTTTTATTAGATTTATGTAAATTTTAACATGA